GAAAAGAGTATCAGGTTGTATAGTGTGAGAACATAAATTGTGAGATGCAAACTTTTAACCCCTACAATTTGGTCATGCAGTTTGAGCTGGAGCTACAGTATGTGCAACGATTTTAAATATTGCACAGTGTAGGCCTTACTGAAGCAATGTTGCGAGCAATGTTACGAGCGTCTACGATCCAATTACTCACTATCTCTGGAACTTCGCCTGTGCAAACACAAAAGTGGAAGTGACACTGAGTGGTCAGAGGTATCATGAAGTTATGTGAAAGCTGTTTCTACTTACCTCTAGTTCACGCCGTACAATTGACAGGCCATATTGGCCCACGCTGCACAGCCATTTCCTAGCCAAAATAGACCATCTTCTGCTCTTTTTAAAGCTTTCGGCAGACACAATCGCGCAATTTGCCAAGGCAGCGCTTTTAGCTTTGGTGACCCTCACATTCCTTCCATTTTGTTTAACTTCGTCTTCTTCGTCTTCAACTTCAAGTCCGACGTGCGTTTTTGGTTGTACAATGTGAGCGGTCAGATTGCATAAAAGTATCCGGTTGTATAGTGTGAGAACCAAATCGTGAGCTGCGAACTTTTAACCCTTACGATTTGGTCGAGCAGTTTGAGCTGGAGCTACGTGCAATGATTGAAAATATCGCACAGTGTATGCCCTGCTTGAGTGAGCTGCATACTCACAGAGATGTTTTCAGTCTGGAGAATGGCCTTGATTAATGCTTTTATCTCAGAAGCCTTGAAAGTTTTTATTCCAATAGATCTGACAAAAAAATCAGTGTTCTAACAATGCGCAAAAATCCGTAACAACACCAATTCATATCTGTAAACTATATAAATGGTGACAGACTTACCAACAGCCTTTCTACAGGCCCCAGTGAGCAGCTGTAGCAACTCTGCTGCTTCAGCAGAAAAGTTTATTGGCAATCAGTTTAATATCAGAGTGAAAGGAACAGTTAAACAAAACCAATCAGTTAGTGCCTGTCAGAGTCACGTGATGCTGATGCATCTGCAAAGAATCCTGTCTAAATCAGACCGAGGTGTGTCTGTCCTTAGAGTACAAAGCTGCTCCAACGCTGAAGCACTATCAGCACTAATGGTAGGTCTTCAGATGTGGGGAGAAAAGTTAAGAATATAACCATATTTAAATAGTGGCATTTGGCCTGTCATGAAACACAGAAGTGTTTGTCTGAGCAGTGAGGTCTGAAGGTTTTTTCTGCGGAAGAATGATAACAACAGAATGAGGTCAAAATCCTCAAATGAGTGTAGTCTACTGTCCAATGTGATACACGGCTTATACTTGCAACCCCCACTGTCTGCCTTTGTCTGCTCCATGTTCTTGCAAAAGAACAGATGTCATACAGCCACCACAGTATTTGAAATACCAGATGTATGAGCAGTTTGAAGTTAGTCTAGTTTGAGTTCTAGGTTAAGATTAGTAAAGCTGACTCTGCTTCAGATGTCAATTAGGCAGGGGACGCTTTTTTACCCTGAATGAGATATTTTGGGATGAGAGAACCTGGAGGCTTGAAGAAAAATAGAAATTAGGAATGAAGCTCCTACAAGAAAATATCATGAACCAAAATTGCAGAGTGCACCAATTGCAGAGAGAACCAAAGAAAATGCAGAGTGTGTGCAAAGCAGTAATCACAGCAAAAGGTGGCTACTTTGAAGAACCTTTGAAGAAAGGAGTATAAGAAATATTTTCAGTTGTTTCACACTTTTGAGTTAAGAATATAATTCCCCATGTGTTAATTCATAGATTTGATGCCTTCAGTGTGAATCTACAATTTTGATAGTCATGAAAATAAAGAAAACTCTTTTAATGAGAAGGTGTGTCCAATCTTTTGGTCTGTACTGTATATAGACTCGGCAACACGGCAATACGGCAACAGGCACGCGCCAATTACATGTATCAACCCAGTTTGTGATTGATTGGGCAGTCAGAGTTTCGGCTCGGCTGCTTGCTGCCGCACTTCGCGTCTCACCCTTGTATTTCAACAGGAAATATGCAATTTCAGCGATTTTGACAATGAAAATGTTGCAATTAGTCATTAGTCATACATCAGTGGACAAATATTGGTATTTATTTAATGTTATATTTTTTTAATTGTCATGATGACAGGTGAGGCAGAGCCGAAGTTGGCCAACAACAAACAACAAAACTGAGATTTACACCGGTTCACCGTCTGATCGCTGACTCCTATTCTCCACTCTGCCACATCTAAGATGGCGGCGACGTTGACATACGATTCAGCACTCAATGCGGTGTCTACATATACAGGGAAACTGAAACACCTCTCAATTTAGTGTGGGAGGTTTCATGGCTAAATTGGACCAGCCTGGTGGCCAATCTTCATTAATTGCACATTGAACCAACAAGAGCAGACTGTAAAGGTCCAATTAGCATGGAAGGAGCACAGTTTTGCTCAAAATATTGCAATGCACACCGCATTATGGGTGACATACCAGAGTTCAAAAAAGGACAAATTGTTGGTGCACGTCTTGCTGGCGCATCTGTGACCAAGACAGCAAGTCTTTGTGATGTATCAAGAGCCACGGTATCCAGGGTATTGTCAGCATACTACCAAGAAGGACGAACCACATCCAACAGGATTACCTGTGGACGCAAGAGGAAGCTGTCTGAAAGGGATGTTCGGGTGCTAACCCGGATTGTATCCAAAAAACATAAAACCACGGCTGCCCAAATCACAGAAGAATTAAATGTGCACCTCAGCTCTCCTGTTTCCACCAAAACTGTCCGTCGGGAGCTCCATAGGGTCAATATACACGGCCGGGCTGCTATAGCCAAACCTTCGGTCACTCGTGCCAATGCCAAACGTCGGTTTCAATGGTGCAAGGAGTGCAAATCTTGGGATGTGGACAATGTGAAACATGTATTGTTCTCTGATGAGTCCGCCTTTACTGTTTTCCCCACATCCGGGAGAGTTACGGTGTGGAGAAGCCCCAAAGAAGCGTACCACCCAGACTGTTGCATGCCCAGAGTGAAGCATGGGGGTGGATCAGTGATGGTTTGGGCTGCCATATCATGGCATTCCCTTGGCCCCATACTTGTGCTAGATGGGCGCATCACTGCCAAGGACTACCGAACCATTCTGGAGGGCCATGTGCATCCAATGGTTCAAACACTGTATCTTGAAGGAGGTGCCGTGTATCAGGATGACAATGCACCAATACACACAGCAAGACTGGTGAAAGATTGGTTTGATGAACATGAAAGTGAAGTTGAACATTGTGACAGTCGTGTCACCGTGGGTGCCCCGACAGAGTCTTTTAGAGACCAAGATTCGTTGGTAACAGGTTTTATTTCGAGCGTGTGTGCGGCCCGCACACACACTCTCTCGCACACACACACACTCACGCACGCCCGGCTAGGGCTCTTTGGTTGGGTGTCGTTCGCCTGCTTGGTCCCAAGCTGGTGGCTTGGGTTCTGCTTCGGCTCTGCTCAAAACCAGTCCTCCCCAGGTCCAGCACACTACTCTTTTTACAGAGGGGAGAGTGATTAGCCAACCGGTTCCAGGTGTGTCTAATCATCTCCCCTGGCACTGCTCACCTGAGCCTTCTCCACCCCTCCCCCCAGCAGCTGAGCGCCACGCCCCCTCCACAAACATCTCCCATGGCCTGTACAGTCACCAGATCTAAATATTATTGAGCCACTTTGGGGTGTTTTGGAGGAGCGAGTCAGGAAACGTTTTCCTCCACCAGCATCACGTCATGACCTGGCCACTATCCTGCAAGAAGAATGGCTTAAAATCCCTCTGACCACTGTGCAGGACTTGTATATGTCATTCCCAAGACAAATTAATTCTGTATTGGCCGCAAAAGGAGGCCCTACACCATACTAATGAAGTATTGTGGTCCAAAACCAGGTGTTTCAGTTTCATTGTCCAATCCCTGTATGTGTCTATGGTTTTATCGACGACAGTACGATCGGCTGTGTACTATTTGTTACCTCTGGCTTGCTGTAGAAAGACGCAATGCGCATGCTCTCTCTTGTTTATACCATAATGGCGTCCTACCTAAACGTTTTTGGCTTGCATGTGAGAAGGACCAACCTGGGGAAATTCATCCACAAAGTTAACACAGTATTTTACAGACGAACTGGGACAGACGTGGTTGGCGCTCAGGTTGACGCTGCTTCCAGACACGCTAGCGGTTAGTATGACGTGTTTAAACACGTTTGCTTAGGGGCTGATCGACATGATAATTATAGATACTGTAGATAGATTACTTTATTCGTCCCCAAAAGGAAATCTGGTTAATATTGTACATTTTCTTTAGAGACTACTCTTTCACATATGTAGTTCTAAGTTTATGTAAATAAATACAGTCGTTTGTGAATGAATAATGCTTGGCTATTATTTTTTTAAGGACCCATCGTCTAATACTCTCAAACTGGCAGCTTTTGTAGATAAAATAGATAGATAAAAACTTCATTAATTCAGCTGCCCGCTAACAAACATAGTAACACACGTTATTACACATACACGAATAAATAATGATATTATTATTATCATTATTTATTCGTGTATGTGTAATAATGATAAAATGAAAAAGAACTACACCCAATAGAATCTAAATTAAATTGAAAATAAAGTGCACACATTGAATTCTGTTCAGACGCATCCGTTGAACAGCCTAGCAGTGGAGGGGACAAACTATTCTTTTAATCGCTATTTTCTGAAGTGTAATGACATTGCAGAGGCTGTTTGTCATTACTCAGGGTGCCCGATTAAAGCCCCCATAAACCAGGAAATATGTCCATGTGTTCAAATAAGCAAGGTTGAGTTGAATGTCCATCCTGCAGCTGTCTTAACCTAACAAATAAAAAGTATGGTGTGTTTTGGTTTGTCAGACAGTAAGTGTAAATTGTGCACATGTCTGCTTCCTGTATTTTGTATGCTGCCCTTTTACACTGGATGTACCACTGATCAGTGAGACCTTTTTAATCATAACTGGGCTTTACTTGATTAAGAGATGCTTGAGAAAATATCCCTTCAAGGGAAGTTTTTTAACTGTTGTATTTCTGTTTCTCTGTCATCAGGTGAAAAGAATGGATGCAAGTCATTGCACAGTCTTTTGGTGGAAAGACAAAGACAGGCAGAGAAATCTGTTCTCATCAGCTGTCAGTCAAAGACTAATGAGAAAAAGTTACTGAAATATTTGTCAAGACACGGAGACATCAAGAGGCACTTCTTTTATGAAAGTTATGTAAGTGTCAAATCATCCTCATTTCACAAGTGAACGCTATGTTCTTACTTGTTTGTAAGTGCATGTGTAACAAACTTTACAGCTCTCATAGGATTTAGTTAAGCTGAAGTCAAGGTTTATGTGTGCTTGTTTTATGCTCTAGGGGGTCTATGCAGTAGTGGAGTTTGCCAACAAGGACAGTGTTGCATCTTTACTTCATACAGTTGCAGTGCCTTGTGTTAGCCATGAATCCATAGTGCCTTTTAAATCAAGATTGCTGTCACTCAGAAACTCTAGTTTGGTTATCTCATCAAACCAATCGTCACAAATTCAATGCCTACCTCAAACCCCCATCCTCATGAATGAAGTCATCCAGAGGCTGTCCAAAGAAGATACTGTAAGTAGTTGGGTCACAATGTAAGAAAAGATTTTGTACTTCTATTGAGATGGTATTGAAAGAACTAGTTGACTTTTATTCTAATTTTCCATCAGCTCGATAGACAGATAACTTCCCTGACAGAATTCTACCAACTTACAGAGGAGAACATCAGACTCCGTTTCCTAGTCTGCTCCCTGCTCAAAGATATTGCTGCTGCCTACTTTCCTGAGTGCACAGTCAAACCGTTTGGTTCATCAGTAAACGGCTTTGGAAAGCTGGGCTGTGACCTGGACATGTTTCTGGATCTTGACAGCATCAGTGGGTGGACTACAGAATTGGTAATCATGATGCATTTTTAGTTTATATAGTATCTGTCTTTAGACTGTATTTATGCTGCCAATCTAGCATGTCTATGTTTTTATATTATAGAAATATTTTTCCCACAGCTGTGTTAGATGGTTTTAACATCTTATTGGCAAGATTTTTTAGATGTGCCAGACTTAAGCTTTTTTGTTTTGGTACAGTGTTTGAGTATGAAGAGAATAATCTCCATATGTGACACTGTATTTAAATGCTGTTCAAATAAATTGAAATTCCAAAATATGATGTTTTTTCCATAGGTTGATTTTATGATTTTTAGATACAAACTTTTACTTTGTGTTTGCAGACTAAATCAGGTCTACTCTTAGAATACCAGATGAAACCGGCAAACTCAGAGCGGGCTGTCACCCAGAGCATTCTGTCTGTCATCGGGGAGTGTTTAGATCAGTTTGGCCCTGGATGTGTCGGAGTGCATAAGATTCTTAATGCTCGATGCCCTCTTGTCCGTTTCTCCCATCAACCCTCTGGTTTTCAGTGTGACCTCACAGCTAATAACAGGTACTTTCTCCATGAACATATTTATATTTGCTGTGTTACATTGATCTGGACTTGCCCAGGCAATTCAGATCTACTTTTAAAAACATTTTTACCACAAACTTGTTCTCTGAAATGTTGTAAAAAAAAATGTGATGAAGTGTTGCTTGCAAGATTGTAATAATTGGTAACAATTGTTTAACTGGATGCTATTTACAGGGTGGCGATGAAGAGCACAGAGCTTCTCTATGTGTATGGAAAGTTGGATCCACGGGTACAAAGCCTGGTTTGCACAGTGCGCTGCTGGGCCCGGGCTCATGGCATCACCAGCAGCATATCAGGGGCCTGGATCACCAACTTTTCCCTCACAATCATGGTGCTTTTCTTCCTGCAAAAAAGAAACCCTCCCATAATCCCCACACTGGACCACCTACAAGACCTTGCAGGTACCAGGCAGAACTTGCATACCATAATCTACAAGTTAAGAAGTCCTACTGGTATGAAGGATTTTTCAAATCCTTCGGCACAATGAGATAAAGGCACAGAAAGTAAAAGTATGATATTTATGGAATGCCAGAACAAAAAAATATTCTTTGAAATATATTCTAAATCTAACAGGAAGTCAGACATTTTTGTAGACACGAAACTCAATAGATTGTATCATACAGGTCTGAAAATATGTATATTGTGCCAAGATAAGTCTGAATAAGTAGTATTAAAAGTGTGAATTTTAATCAGTTGGTGTCGCTTAGGGATGTCCATAAATTTTAATCTTGGCCAAAAGTTGATCTTGCAATATTGTGGCTAATCTTTTGCTGTCTCAATGTCTTGCAGATTTTTTAATTGTACATTTTTCATTTTGTATTAAGGATTCAGTGTAGCATGGGATTTTGCAGTACATAGTTATTTTTCAGTATTTATTATTTTAATGATTTGTGTGATTAAAATAAGCATTTATAAGGCCAAAATATTAAACAACATAAAAGTGATGATCTAAACATATTGAAATAAGATAAAATCTTTATACATTATGGATTTACATACATTCAGGTTAAGAATGACTGATGGCACCTAACAGATACCATCATTTTTTGACTATTGAACGCACCTGAAGCCCCATCAGTATCTTTATAAAGAAAAGAACGTACATATATAAGCCGCACTTGTCTATAAGACACGTGTCCACAAAGTAACTTGAGATATTTTTAAAGAAATGTTATTTCAACTTTTGATTAAATAGCTGTATATTATTGAAATAAGCATCACATAAACTTAGGGATGCCCTTAAGGAAGAGGGCTGCATAAAATTGGGACCAAGTGGGTGGGAGAGAAATTCATGGGTTACTGTGTGCTAACAGAGAACCACCAGGTCATACCCGGTGGTGTTGCTTCTAAGCTGGTCCTCGACTCTTCTGTATGTTGCCTTATTTTCACGGACACCTGTTTTCAGGTTGACCCCTTGCTGTACTGTAGAATGCCTTGTCCTTCAACCTGAAAGCAATGTTCCTAGTTTTCACCAGGCTCTGGACCTCCTTCGTCAACCAGGGCTTCCTGGATGCAGGGCTTCCTGGATGACGAAGGGATAAATATTTATAAGTTTGTACTGTGCCTCTGGATAAAGTAATGTAATCCAGGACTGCTGTGGTGTGATTCCCCGGGTCCTGGTTAGCCAAAATCTCCTAGTTGATTGTTTGGAATATATTCTGTAGCTGATGGGGGTATCCATTGGCCATGTGCAAACAGTCTAGGTCATAATGGGAGCTTCTTTTCACAAGGAGGTGTATGCAGCAATGTACATGCGATCTGGCCATAGTGTACTGGGGATTTAGCCCTCTAGGTCCATCTAATGTTCATGTCCAACCTGTCTAGTGTTTTTTGTCTCCTGGTTGTGCAGTTTATATGTCGATGACATTTCTGGAGGACTACTTTCAGATCACAATGATTGAGAAGCCTCAGAATAATATTTCCGCTTGTTTTTGATGGTATCCTGCAAAAGCCACAGACAGAGTTGAGCTAGCATTAGAATGTGGTGCTTTATGCACAGCAGTGAATAGTACGCTCATCTCACGGGGTAGATAAAGGGTCTGCATTGAATATGGAGTTCATGACAACATGAGGGGTACACTAACATTTCCATCTGTACTGCCTGATAAACTTGCTCCATGGATCTCCATTATCACATGCACTGAAGTCAGAGGGTGCTCGCAGTAGCTAGTCTAGGATAAGGTTTCCTCATTGCTGTTGTTGTTTTCTTGAATAGTGGACACTGGATTATTACTTTTTCGGGGTTTTTTCTTTTCTTTTTTTCCCATCCGCATTTCATTTCTTCTGCCATATGACCTGTATGGAAGACCACCTCATACCAATTCATAATCTGATCCCTGTGTGGCTTTTTAAAGTTAGGAGTGTAGACAGGGTTGCATTGTTCACTCAAAAAAACAGTTCCTTTCTTTCTTTCCTCTGTTTATATTTGGTAGTCACTGTTAGGTCTGATAGCATTTACTGGCCATCTTTTTCTCAGTCAGCGTTGATAACATATAAAAGGTGCCTTTCCATTGTGTGCTTAAATCATGTATAAATAAGCATGTGCTCCTATATGTCTGTTTGCGGACGCTTTTCTTTTAGCTTAGTGAAGGTCGGTTAACTTTTTTAAGTGCTCAACCACTCACCTAGCAGCTAACACATTTTGCTATTGGTTGTTTTTAAGGTGTTTCGTAAAACTCAAGTGTGGTGTACATTTTACTGATGTTCACCCATACTTCTCTGCCAAAAGTTTATTGCTGTAACTAAATTAAAGGACAACAACTTAAACTTTATGTAGGGGGAATAGTCACATTTTTCAATCAGTTCTACAAGGTATTCTGAAATATTAACTGTCTGCCTGTCTTCCATGGGGAGAGTGTTTAAAGTTAAAATTAAAATACAGTAAAATCTCATTTCCCAGTTGGTTCCATTGTAGAAACGAGGTCACTCCCATATATCCCTCAACAGCTACATTGGTCCGAGTGTCTTTTATGATTGCATTATCATCAGTTCTCATTAAGAGTTTCTTTTTGCTTGGCTTTTGCATGTTTCCAAACTGCCTTTGGAAATATACTTCCACACGTCTAACCCTCTTTCTTCAATTCCTCCAATTTTCCACACCCTAAATCAGGTTGGTAAAATATACTCAAAGTTAATATCCAGAATGAAGTAATCAAGCAATTAGAAAAACATTGCCTCTAAATCAAGGACCCCTCAGCCAAGAAATTATTTGTATACCTTGGCGTGAGAAGAGTTTGGGGAGGCCATGGAAAAAGACTTCCGTACGGCCTCGAGGCGATTCTGGTCCACCATCCAGCGTCTCAGGGGGGGAAGCAGGGCCCCACCAACACTGTTTACAGTGGGGATGGTGTGCTGTTGACCTCAATTCGTGACGTTGTGGGTCGGTGAGCGGAGTACTTCGAGGACCTCCTCAATCCCACTGGCGCGTCCTCCATTGGAGGGGCAGAGCCTGGGGATCCGGAGTTGGGATCTCTAATCTCTGGGGCTGAAGTCACCGAGGTAGTCAAAAAGCTCCGCGGTGGCAAGGCTCCATGGGTGGATGAGATTAGGCCGGAGTTCCTCAAGGCTTTGGATGTTGTGGGGCTGCGTTGGCTAACGCGACTCTGCAACATCGGGTGGACATCAGGGGCAGTTCCGCTGGATTGGCAGACTGGGGTTGTGGTCCCCCTATTTCAAAAGGGGGACCGAAGGGTGTGTTCCAACTACAGGGGGATCACACTCTTAAGCCTCCCATGGAAGGTCTATTCAGCGGTTCTGGAGAGGAGGGTCCGTTGGATAGTCGAGCCTCGGATTGAGGAGGAACAGTGTGGTTTTCGTTCTGGCCGTGGAACGCTGGACCAGCTCTATACCCTCAGCGGGGTCCTGGAGGGTGCATGGGAGTTCGCTCAACCAGTCCACATGTGTTTTGTGGACTTGGAGAAGTCGTTCGACCGTGTCCCTCGGGGTATCCTGTGGGGGGTGCTCCGGGATAATGGGGTACCTGGCCCCTTGTTACGGGCTGTTCGGTCCCTGTACGACCGGAGTCAGAGTTTGGTTCGCATTGCCGGTAGTAAGTCGGACCTGTTTCCGGTGGGAGTTGGACTCCGCCAAGGTTGCCCTATGTCTCCGGTCCTGTTCATAACTTTTAAGGACAGGATTTCTAGGCCCAGCCGGGGTGTTGAGGGTGTCAGTCTTGGTGGCCTTAGGATCGCATCTCTGCTTTTTGCAGATGATGTGGTCCTGTTAGCTTCATCAAGTCGGGACCTACAGCTCTCGCTGGAGCGGTTCGCAGCCGAGTGCGAAGCGGCTGGGATGAGGATCAGTGCCTCCAAGTCCGACACCATGGTCTCTCACCAGAAAAGGGTAGAGTGCCTTCTCCGGGTCGGAGCGGACGTCCTTCCCCAAGTGTGCAAGAGTTCAAGTATCTCGGGGTCTTGTTCGCGAATGGGGGTAGGGAGCGTGAGATCGATAGGCGGATCGGTGCGGCGTCTGCAGTAATGCGGGCGCTGTACCGGTCTGTCGTGATGAAGAAAGAGTTGAGCCTAAAGGCGAAGCTCTCGATTTATCGGTCGATCTACGTTCCCACCCTTGTCTATGGACACGAACTTTGGGAAGTGACCGAAAGAACGAGATCGCGGATACAAGCAGCCGAAATGAGTTTCCTTCGCAGGGTGGCTGGGCTCTCCCTTAGAGATAGGGTGAGGAGCTTGGTCATCCGGGAGGGGTTCAGAGTAGAGCCGCTGCTCCTCCACGTGGAGAGGAGCCAGTTGAGGTGGCTCGGGCATCTGATCAGGATGCCTCCTGGTTGCCTCCCTGGGGAGGTGTTCCGGGCTCGTCCCACCGGGAGAAGGCCCAGAGGAAGACCCAGGACACCCTGGAGGGACTATGTGTCCCGGCTGGCCTGGGAACGCCTCGGGATCCCCCCGGAGGAGCTGGCGGAAGTGGGAGGGGAGAGGGAAGTCTGGGTCTCCCTGCTTCGGCTACTGCCCCCGCGACCCAACCCCGGATAAGCGGAGGATAATGGATGGATGGATGGATGGATGGATGGATGGATGGATGGATGGATGGAATTGAAATTCCCCTCACATTCCCCATGCATTTTATGAAAAATATGAAATACTTTGATTACCTTGCCGAAATCTTGCTCTTTTTTTTCCATCCTAATTTAATTTTTTTTGTTGTAAATAATGGATCATTGGACAGCTTCACCCACCACCTCCCTCTGAGTCAAACATTCGACTTAAATTCCTTCTAAAAGTGCACTGGACAAGGGCCAAACTAGTTAATACTTTTCCTGATGTTGAATCCATATACCCTATTGTAAAGGTCAGATATAAAAACGTTTTCTTGTTCTGCCTGTATCTTACGACATTTCTTTACTTGTTCACGAATGTATAGTGCTTTCATCCCTACAAACGTGTTTTTGGCTTTACCGATAAATCCCCTTCTCTCAAAGGCTAATTTATGTAGTTGTAGCCATCACCTCTCTTCTCTCTATGGTAGACATGGTATGAATAAAATCTCCCACATTTAGAACATCGTTTAGAAACATCTCATTTCTGCAACTAGAAAAAATCTGCTAAATAGAGAGCCAAGTATCCTTTGGTGTTATGTTTACTGTATTTACAATGTATAAAAACATTATTTTTATCTTTCTAAAGAAAATAATTTTTGAAATGGAAGAAATCTTTTGAATAATGCCTTGTTTCCCTCTTTTACGTCATTTTGTTTAATTGATGTTCAGCAGTTTTTTCAGGTTAGTGATGATCCAGGGTTTGGTAAGCACCTTACTGTTCTGCACTGCAGCTCTACCTCAATCACTGCTCCTGAAGTCTCAGTCAGGAAAAGACGTGCAATATGTTTTATGTCTGTAATTTCTGTGAAAGGTTTTTGTTTTAACTTGTTTCCCCATTCTTATTATCACTAGGTCCTGCAGACAAGTGTGTGATTGATGGGAAAAACTGTACATTTGTCAGTGATTTTAGCAAGATCCAACTACCAGGCAACAAAGAGGCATTAGGTGAGCACAGGAATGTATAGTGAGGAAAATAAGTATTTGAACACCCTGCTATTTTGCAAGTTCTCCCACATAGAAATCATGGAGGGGTCTGAAATTGTCATCGTAGGTGCATGTCCACTGTGACATAATATAAAAAAATTTAAAAAATCCAGAAATCACAATGTATGATTTTTTAAACTATTTGTTGCAAATAATTATTTGAACACGTGAGAGTGAGAAAATCAATGTTAATGTTTGTTACAGTAGCCGTTGTTTGCAATTACAGAGCTCAAATGTTTCCTGTACTTTTTCACCAGGTTTGCAAACACTGCAGGAGGGATTTTTGCCCACTCCTCCACACAGATCTTTAGATTAGTCAGGTTTACGGGCTGTCGCTTTTGAGCTCCCTCCAAAGATTCTCTATTGGGTTTAGGTCTGTAGATTGGCGAGGCCACGCCAGAACCTTGATATGCTTCTTACAGAGCCACTCCTTGGTTATCCTGGCTGTGTGCTTCGGGTCATTGTCATATTGGATGACCCAGCCTTGACACATCTTCAATGCTCTGAGGGAAGGAACTTGTTCAAAATCTCGGTATACATGGCCCTGGTCATCCTCTCCTTAATACAGTGAAGTCGCCCTGTCCCATGTGCAGAAAAACACACCCAAAGCATGATGCTACCACCCCCATGTTTCACAGTAGGTAGATGGTGTTAAAATAAGATTGAATTGAATTCAAATGGTCATTGGCAAACTTAAGACGGGCCTTGACATGTGCTGGTTAAAGCAGGGGAACCTTCTGTGCCATGCATGATTTCAAACCATGACGTTTTAGTATATTGCCAACAATAACCTTGGAAATGGTGGTCCCAGCTCTTTTCAGGTCATTGACCCGCTCCTCCCGTGTAGTTCTGGACTTTCTCACCTTCCTTAGGATCATTGAGACCCCACGAGGTGAGATCTTGCATGGACCCCCATTCCAAGAGAGATTGACAGTCATGTTTAGCTTTTTCCATTTTCTTTCTCACCAAGCTCCTTGACAAATTACCCGTAGCCCTTTCCAGCCTTGTGGAGGTGTAACATTTTGTCTCAAGTGTCTTTGGACAGCTATTTGGTTAGTAGTTGGATTCTTACTAATTGTATGGGGTGGACAGGTCTCTTTATGCAGCTAATGTGGTCCATCAAGTTTAGGATAATAAATGGAGTGGACATTTTAAAGGCAGACTAAAAGGTCTTTGAGGGTCAGAATTCTACCTGATAGACAGGTGTTCAAATAGCTATTTGCAGCCGTATCATACAAATACATAGTTTTAAAAAATCATGTATTGTGACTTCTGGATTTTTTCTTTTAGATTATGTCTCTCACAGTGGACATGCACCTATGATGACAATTTCAGACCCCTCCAATATTTCTAGGTGGGAGAACTTTCAAAATAGAAAGGTGTTCAAATACTTATTTTCCTCACTGTATAATCAATCCCAAAGGGTGTTAATTTACATTGAAGGACGTCAATGGTTGTATTGCAGGACTTTTTTCCTAACTTTACATCTGTTGCTGTGTTTCAGAGGAACTGCTGTGTGAGTTCTTTGAGTTCTACGCGACTTTTCCATTCAACAGAATGTCCATAAATATCAGGAAGGTACAAATAAATAAATCTTACTGCTTATTCAAATAAAAACTTTAATTTCAACCACATTTTACATGTATATATTGACAGTTCTATATAAGACACATTTTTGTATTTTTTAGCCTTTTGTAACTTCTTTTGCAGTCATTCATGCAATATTGTTGGAACAGAATGAAACTGTCATTAGACTGACTTAAACAGCATAGTATTTTTTGTCTTCCCCCATCCTTATTTATCTGTCCTTATTGATGAATGAAATAGAAGAAATATCTGATTAAGTACATTAAATGATGAAAATTGTTATTAAGTAGTTGTAAAAAAAAAAGTAGACGAAAGGAGGGATTGATATGCAACTTTTCACCGTTCTGGTATAGTTCACATTGTATTTCAGTTGGCGTATATTAATTCACCATCTCTCCTGCCCATTCGTCCATCTGTTATATATACATTCTGTACTGCACTGAAGAACGAGAGTAAAATATAAAATCCATTCAGAAACCTAAGAACCTTGTAAGTACATTATTATAATTTATCCATGACATCACTCAGTATGTTTTATTCTTTACTTGTTTCTTTTATTCTTTAATTTTCCTTTTGCTGGAAATTCTGTTAGTCAAAACAAGCCTTTGGTGAATGTCATCTTGCCAAACACCAATGAAAGTCTTTTACTCTGCTGTTAATGTCTTAATTGAGATTCCTGTTACACGAATACATGAGCAAATACACATACATTCTCACAAAAGTTAAGCAGGAGTTGTGTTTGGAAGGGCATCCTGCGCAAAGAAAAAAAAGTCTCATATAAAAAAAATTACCATGAGAGTCAATATTGATGTGGTGTGTTGACTCCTGATGGTAAAAGCTGAAAGGCAAACTACACGGTCATTATAACTGTGTCTCTTGTACATACATTTTACAACCTACCTCATCTTCTATATTTAGGTTAAAACATTCAAACACAATTGGAAAAAGTCCTTAATTTTTCTTTCATTTACATTGTTGTCACTTAAACCTGCAGCTTACATGTCTTTGCCCTTTTTTTCTCTCTCCAGGGACAAGAGCAGAACAAGCCAGAGGTGTCACCACTGCACATCCAGAACCCATTTGAATCCTCTCTAAATATCAGCCAGAATGTCAATACTACCCAACTAAAGAATTTTGTGACTTTGTGTCAAGAGAGTTCATGGCTACTCTACCAGAGTAAAACCATGTCACCCAAAGGTGTTGCAGTAGACAGCACTACCACAACTTGGGGGATCGCCACCCTACTCCTACCATCACGAGTGCCAGGGATCAAAGGTCACAGGAAAAGACGGGAGCCTGCCAGTGAGAGGATCAAGAGTTTGCTGGAATCCTTGAAGTATAAAACTCAGCAGAAGAAGACTAAAGACTGAGAATCTCAATAATGTACTATAACAATAACCCATCCTTTTGAGGCAGTACTTGGGTGTTAAATGTCTCACTTCAAAGTGAAGAAGCAGCATCCAAAAGTTGGACTTGTTCTCAGAATGGATTTGTTAGCATTGAGAATGTTACTGTGCTATGTGTTTATGTGGGAAAATATAGCATTGAGACTGTACATTACTTTTTAACTCCCTAAGTGGTTGTGATTAAAAATTACACTGGGTAATACTGGGAGAGTATTTAATTTTTTTTTTAGTAAAGGCTTTTTTGTACATATTAACTGATGCACTCAGCATGAACCTTGATTTGTGTGCGGAGATCATGTACTATGAGTGAAATTTCATGAATGGTTTGTCACCTTCATGGTCAGCAGTGAGTTCCATATTGTTGACAAGCGAAAAGTATATATTCTGAGGAATTTAAACTGGCCTCACTAAATTGGAGGTTCTTGATTTTGCAATCAAATGTGTGTGCAAATTATGAATATTGATTTTCTGAAATTGTTATGATTCCACTAGAGACCAGATGTGCTCCGCAGGTTTGAATTCCTCTTTTGGTACGTCACAAGTTAGTTAACATGTATTTATATTATTTATATTTAGTAATAACAGCAGTAATTTCCTTTAAAAAAAAAAAAACTGTCTCTTCTCCTTAAGATGGAGATAAAAATTCCTAAATCCTGAAATGAAGACCTTACTGTCCTATATTGTACCAAGATCTAGTCCAGCCATTATTTGTTCTCTGTGATATAGATGTATTGCTTTTTTTTGGGAGGCTTGAACATGCACACAATCTTGCTGAATTTCATGCACACTCCCAGTTGAAAACCATGCTTTAGTGGGGTAAATTGCCTCATAGGACCACTATTTGCTGTAGTTTTTAATGTTTTTTTTATTTTTTTTCCCAATGTCCTGTTCAGCTTTATGGCAGCTGAACTGAGTACCGTGCAATGCTGAACAAATTTGCTTTGCCAAGGGAGGCTTTGTTGGTGAGAAGCCCCCCTTTACCCAAAACTGCTTTATTATCTTATTTTTATTACCAAACTTTACACATGTCCAATAATGCCGAACCTGACAGAGCGACAGGGAAGGAGGAAAAGCACAGAAAAACAAACCTGAAAAGGAGAAATTTGACAGAGAAAGATAGAAGAAAAAAAGAAAGACAACATAACCATACAACCTGCTGTTATGTCTGTACAAAAGAAACTGTTTCATGTGGGAAATCCGGGTAGCGAACCTATAGGAGCTAATGCAAATGGACACGGAAGACAAAAGGACAAACAAGCAACAAAAGCAACAACACTGGTACCAGGGACATTAGTGAGCTTCTCAGAACTGCAGCAACTGTACAGTAGCTTAGGGAGGCCCGTGTCTGGGTAACTGACTGTGTGTGTGTGTGTGTGTGTGTGTGTGTGTGTGTGTGTGTGTGTGTGCGTGCGTGTGTGTGCGTGTGTGTGTGTGTGAAAGATTAAGAACCCCCAGCCCAGGTTTCCCAGATTGTGTTTAGTTATGGTGCAGAGTGGCCACCAGCCAAAGCTCCCCCCTCCAGCGCTCCGAACAGGGCAGAGAGTGCCCCTAGACTCAGTCCAGGAGTAGCCACCTTCGCACAGATCCCCGGAAGATGACCACATACACAACCGGGCGCCGACCCAGAAGGCAACTAGGGAAGCCCGTCCAGAAGATCCCACCACTGTTGAACAGAGCCCCCCCAAAACCACGAGCGACAGCACACCAGCCTCCAACAGGCCCCGTCCCCCAGACACAGGCCGACAACCGGAACCCAAGCCTGCGAGCCCAAGCACTACCAAACCCTCCAAGCAGAAGCCCACACACCCCCAGCATCTGAAGGGGCCAGGCACCCCAGATGACCAGAAGCATAAAAATACCAAGAAAGTAAAATAGATAGTAATAATATTAATAAAACAAATTAAAGAAAAGGATAAACATAAATGAATAAATATGTAAATTAATCATCCTGTGGATGTAGCAGGCACCTCCTGGGTCGGCAAAGCCCACCGCCACAGACCCGGGACCAGCAGAGGCACCCCAGGACCCCCAGGAACCAGGCAGACCCCAGGCAACAGGGGTGCAAGAAGTAATACATTATTGTTGTTAATAAAATGTTCCTCCTTCTCTTCAGGTATCCATGAGCAGTTACGGTGTTTGTTTGCTGTCATTCCTGTCCTCTCAAACCCCACAACTGGTGGGGGCAGATGGCGCTGAGTCTGGACGAGGATTCTTCCAGCTGAAAGAGAGATCTCCAGAGCATCTTTTTCTTTGTAAAGAAAAAGATTTCTCTTTACAAAGTCTCGTAGTGCACGCTCAAGATAGGGGATTGGATTGAAGAGAAGAATCGGTGCAATAAACAGTTGTCTTTAGCTAGAATTTTTCTCAATTACAGCTGTGTGATCCAGTTAGTCTGTAAGACATTTCTTTGGCCTCTACCTTAGAGATATAAGAAAACTAACAGAATCTGTTATTTCACACTTCGTTGCCAGCCTCTCTACCTTTTTAAGATGAGTCTTATAATGGTCAACCATGTCTGACCTCCGTCCGGGCAGCCTTGGCAATTCATCAGTCCCTATTTTTTTGGTGTTTGATCAGAATACCCTCCGATTTTTTTTATTCATTTGGCGGAAATAAAGGACTGCATTCTCGCCAGAGGAAACTTGAAATGCAGACCGACAGATGTGCGTCCCTCCCGGCGCTACATGGGGTGGCGGGCCAGTGTCCACCGCATGTGGAGGAGAAGAGGACATCATATAGCCACTCCCTGCTATCTGCATGTCAAGTGTATGCTGTCTTTGCAATTATATGGACAAAAATAGCATCTTTTGACAGTCTAACAAGAACTTTGTAAGCAACTTTGCTCTTTTCTTTTGTGAGACCTGGCTGCATGTCAGTTTCTGACACCGCTTTGGAGTTACCTGGACTCTAGATGATTAGGGTGAACTGTGATACAGAGGCCAGCAAAAAATCGAAGGGAGGAGGTCTGTGTTTTTACTTAAATAGTAACCGATGCACGGATGCAGTGATTTTCCACCAATACTGTTGTGGCATCCGGAAATCATTTTGACTGTACTAAACTTTTCTGCAAAACTTGGGGGTTCTCGTGATGGGAGATTTCAACACGTGTAATCTCTCACAGGAGCTTCCGAACTACAAACAGATGGTGACATGCTATGCTGGACAACACCCTGGACCAGTTCCTCTTCATCATAAAACACTTATTCTGCTCCATCCCCCTTGCCCACTTGGGTATTCTGACCTCAGCATTAATTAGATGGTCCCTACATACAGGCAGCAACTGAAGAGGTCCAAACCATACAGGACTGCTTCAGGATTGCATGGAGTCTACTGACTGGGAGTCACTGAGGGGCCCTGAGGTTGACAACAGCATTTTGGCAAGACACTTACATCAGCAACTGTAAGCAGGTCTGCAGGTCTCAGAAACACAGATCGGAATTGGCAACCACCATTTTGTGCTGATTTTATTTGTTTGTGTCTGTTTCACTAACTGAGGGTGCACCACATTACCAAACTTAACTTGAGGAGAACCAAAAACAAAGAAGTGAACAGTATTACCAAAAAGGTTTACCAACAAAAGGTTATTTCATCTCGGAAATTATGTAAACTTCAGGTTAAGGAAATAACCTAAACTTTCTGAAGATAAGGGGAGCAGTTTCTATAAAGCTAAAAATTAGAATCCTTATTGGAGATTGAGGTATTACATATGTATGCTACATTCGTTTTAACACAGTTACATAGACAGTGAGAACATTTATTCTCAAGGGATTCTAATGACATTCAAATTTTGATATCAGGAAATCACACATAATACGAGGAAACTATCCACGGTTTTCTGTGGTGTCCCTCGATGAGAAACCTAACTAAATAATATTTACATTATATGAGAAATGTGACCCTATTGCTGTGAAAAGTCCCTCCCTCCTATTCAGAAGAGGGGGTGTTTCTACAGAGCTGTGATGTAGTAAGGAGGGGCTTTTCCCTTAGCACATCCGAGCTAAGTTTGTCATGAGAATGCAAAGGATGATCACTGTGGACTAGTTGGCGATGCAAGAATAATTTCACAGGTAAAAGTAGCTCCAGATCGAAAAACACTCCACTAAGTTTGGCTTTCTGCTTCCCTTCTTTAATGTCACGACCCGCGAGCTGGTTGTAGGAGAGGGCTGATGCAGCTGTGAGTGAGCAGGGGTTGGAAGTCGCATCTGTTCAACATTTAGCTTTTCCTTTGGTTCCCTTAACTTGCAGCTATACCCAGTCAGCTCCTTCAGCCTGCTGCGTGTCTGGGCCCGTTTCTTATAAATATGATCTTACAAACAGAGCGACACTTCTTGGACACATTATTAATAGGTGTCCAGGATTTTGAGCTCAGTTTCTTTAAAAAACGTTTGTCACTTAAAGTGTGTGTTGGTGTTTGTTATTTTCTGCCGCTGTCGTTCCTATCAAATGAAGGTTAAAGATTGCTTATGTAGCTAGCCACGGTACGGTTTGCTCTTGCATATTCCTGCTTTGGAAAAGAGGCCAAACAAGATACTTGAAATATTGAACGGCACAGGCATTGTTCGTCATCGGGAGATGCGTTAGTCAAAACAGTTGATATCCAGTTTTGACTCGTATGATTACTCTGTAGTGTCCTGAAGCTTCTATGCAGGTGTTCCTAAGACAGTGTCCTGCAAAGGAACAGTAAGGCGTCAGAGTAATAAAAAAAGTACCACAAATGAAATACTGTCATCACGGATAACTCACACACATATAATGTATGAATGTTCATCCAGTATCGACTCTTTTTAATTGTCAAATTACATTTAAGCTTCACACATAGACTGCCTAAATACAGACTGTTTTCACGAATATCGCGATTTCTATACTAAACTGTAAACTGCGCACTGTCATAGCTGCGATGCTATGTTAACAAGCTACCACGGAACTAACGGGGTTAGCATCATGCCAAGCCTATCAATCATGTTTACAACATGTGATGACACCATTCAGATCCCATTAAGTACAGCTCTGGGTTCTGTTCTGATATGTTGAAGGACCAAATGGCGACGAAAATCTACAAATATTGCTAAAATGTTATGCTTCTTTTAGGTGCATTTTGCTGTTTATTCGCGCCTGCAGCATATATGGAATGATATGGCTATTGATTGACCTGTCCAAGCCTTTTTCCACGTAGTATCTTGCAAAAGTACATCTTTCCATTAGTTATAAGAAACTGGTATTTATGCCTAGTATAAAATGTCGAACATCTGTTACAGTTGTATTACCATACTAGCTGGAGTTGACCGTGCCTGGGTGACTTTAATTTAACTTCTTTCACTGAATTATAAAACACAAACATGTCCCTATCTGGCAGTTCAATAGAGGATTTGAGTTATTAAGAAGTGTGAGTTATTAAGTGTAAATAGAATAGAAAACACTACTATGATGCGTCTCATACTATATGTTTACAAGCTGTATGTGGCAAGGGAGAAACTTGAAAGTAGGGCTGGGCGATATGAACCAAAAATAATATCTTAATATTTTTAAGCTGAATGGCGATATACGATATATATCTCAATATATATATATATATATAAATAGGTGTGTGTGCATGTGTGTATGTTTGTGTGTGTCAAATATACTTTGCCTGACATGCAGACACATTTATTAAACAGAAATGCCTCAAAAACAATCTGCTTGCAAATATCAAAATAGTAATCGTAATAAAAAACACAGCTGTGAAATTAAAATGTAAACAGAAAAGTTTCAGACAAACAAACAAAATAATGTCAATTTCCATAGACATAGTTTAAAGTGCTTCCTGCTGTGTGCTCTTGTATTCACATATACTCGCATAATAACCTGTAAATAGATTGTATTCAATTAACTTAAAAATGTTCCTATTCATTTTCTTTGTGCAAACCTAAAATGAAAATAAAACAAGAACACAGCCAGACAGGACTGAAACAACTATTGGACAACTTTCAGATTTTGTGCCAGGAAAAATAATCTATCATGTGTCAGGTATTAGGGATGCCCTTTGACATGTTACAGTGTTCCCACTGCAAATGAAAATCCTTTCGGAAGGTGAGCTGGTAGCAGGCACACAAACATATTTCTTGGCCAGGCAGGTCAGTGCTGGATAAGCAACATCATGTTCTTTCCACCATTTGAGAGGGTTGGCATCACTTTCTACACAAGCTGAGAGAAGGGAGCTGGAAAGTTCCTTTTCTATTGCCTCTCTCTGAGTGATAGTGGTGCTGCTAGTTGTGTTGTGTTGGAAGAAGCTGGCTAGTGATCTCTTTTTTTAGCAGGTGCTGCTATTACAGCTTCTTCTAGGTCTGCAAATTCACGCACGGCTTGGTGGGGTAGATCAGATGAACATCTGCTATGATACCTGAGCAGAGACTCCGCTTCAGAGATGACTTTATATTTTAGTGCATCAATTCTCCCACTCGGGATATATTTGGCCCTGAAGCATCGATCCACAAAAGAAGCAATGTCCAACAGGTCATTGGTTGATGTGTCTGCAAATTTGTTGTTGAGGTAATCCATTAATGCGGTCTTGAATGATTTACAGAGTACACTCTCCCCTTTTCCAGATGCCAAAAGACTAGTGTTAAATAGGTGTAGCACAGGTCTGACATAAGTCAGGGTCACATAGTCTTCATCTGAAAGAGCGTCAGCAAAATTCTGAAAAGGTTTCTGAGCTTTCTGAACTGCTTAAAGAAATTCTATATCCTGCCAAGTTGGAACAAGAGGCCTAGTTTTCTTGTTAAGAGAAAGCACTTCAGAAAGTGCTCTTTCCTGCTCCAGAACCCTAACTATCATTAGCAGCCTTGATCCCCAGTGTGTGGCTGACATTGTGATGAGTCGATAACTTGGAAGACCGTGCTGCATTTTCACTTCAGCCAGTTCTCTTCTTTTTTTCCAGCTGTAGGAGAAGCTGCTGACAACTTTCTTACACAGAGAAATGGCTCGGGTGATGCAGGCATCAGCCATACCATGCCTTGTAACACACAAACACATACAACTTTTTTTTTTGTGTAGGAAGCAGATCTATCAACGGCTAAATAACCTCTACCTCATTTTAGTAAAAAATATTAAACTAAATTTAAAAACTGTTGTATACAAAGATAAGTTTATTTAAGATATCTTGGTAAAAAAAAACATTAATTGAATGGATCACTCTCTCTTCCTCTATCAGAATGAAAATCCTCAGTTTAACACAAGGACATGATTTATGTTATGTAATGAATTGTTTCAGTTTTTGGTGTAGGCTTTCCCCTAGGCCTATACATTAGTCTAGTGATACTGTAGCTTAGTAGCTCATAAGTTGATTACATTATTTAACATTTTGCTTGGTAATACTAGCACATTTATTTCTTATTTTAAATCAATGGGTTCAACAGTATAATTTGCACTCACCAATAGCCAGATGCAGTCTGTGCCCAAAACACTGCATCTTCAGCCATTTATTTCACCACATTATCTCCGTTGTCCGTAGTTACAGCGACCAGCTCTGTCAGCTTAAGGTTCCAGCTTATGAGGATATCCTGCAGCACTTCAGTGTGGAAAGTAGCTGGTCTGGAGACATGCACTTCTCACTCCCCAGTCTTAGATAAAATGGATCATGTATGGCTCGCAGGTCCTGCTGAACCACATGTTGGTAGTCGACTCAAAGTGAGACAACTTGGCGAATCTGTTGACAAGACTCTCTCTGACATTTGTATTTTGGGGAAGCACTTCTCTGCTAAAATAATTCAGACTTTGTAACTCGTCAAGGACTTTTAGCCGATGCACCACGGCTTAGTAATCTCGCGCCACCTATTGCTTTTTTGGTCGTAAGGCAAAGTATGGGTGTATGAATTTTGTAGTATTGTCTGTTTTGGTGCCGAAGGTGCTGTGGAGGTGCTGTGAGTCTGAGCTGCAGCCCGAAGTTTAACACATTCCTCCTTCTCTTGTTTGTGGTACCGTTTGAGATGGTGGAAAAGGTTTGTGGTACTCGAACTTTTGGTCGCGACATGCTTTAGACACACTTTACAAAACACATCTTTCTGATGCTCGTCTGAGACTTTTAAGCCGAACCATCTCCAAATTAGTGAGCCATTGTTTTTTGTTTTTTTTGCTCACCAAGTGCTCCCCGTGCTTCCATCCGCGCCTCCATCGTAGCTATACGCAAAACTTTCTAGATTGTCAAGGCCCCAGATGACGCAGTGGGGAGTGGTGTTCAGAGACTGAGGGAGGGAAGTTCGGCACAGACATATGAGGAAGAATGGAGAGGAATTTGCGGATCTAAAAGAATAATTTATATGCAGTGTTGACAATTTCGATATATACGATATGCTCTCGTCTTATAAATCTTTTGAATGAATCTCGATAATTTAAAAATCTCGATTTATCGCCCAGCCCTACTAGAAAGTAAGCTTACTTGGTTGAAAGTTATCTCTAAACTACATCATTATTGCATTAATTTCATTATTGAATTTACAATATATATATTTTTTTATTCCTTCAAAAATTAAAAAGCTGAAACTCAAACGGTAGAGTTGGCACAGGCAACTTTGCTTCCACTGGTTTTAAATAGGATACTGTACCAAATTGTAGATCGGTAATGTAGAAAGTTAATTACTCTCTTTTCAGTGAGGAATGTAATTAAAAACATCCATCCATCCATTTTCATAACTGCTTAATCCCTAATGGGGTTGCGGGGGAACTGGAGCCTAACCCAGTAGTCAAAGGGCAAGAGGCCGTGGACGGTCCCCCAGTTCATCGCAGGGCTAATTAAAAACACTGCAGTACAGATTCTCTTGGCCAAATCTTTTTTCTCTTAAGACATTGCAGTGGAACATGAAGGCAATTGTTGGAGATTATTTCTTGAATCTGAGGTTTCATTCAATAAAATATATCTTTCCAGGTCTAGACACAAGAATACTTTTTTTTTTTTTTGCCAGAGAAGTTATACTGTTATTCTGGGGTTAGCCTAAGTATCTGACTGCTCTCTGTAGCTAAAAAGACTGTCTCATTGACGATTGCTATAGCTAAAACGCTAATTAACGTTCTGTTAATTTAAGAAGAGATACTCCGAGTAAATATACGTACCTCAATGAACAATTGTTAGAATCTTGAAAAAATCATTGCAAATTTTAAGTGCAATGTCAATGTAAAAAACATGTAAAAAGAAAAAAACTATTTTAGAGTCTATAAATTCATTACTTGTAGTACAGGCAAGTGAATGCACAAAACTGTCCATGGTTCATTGAGGTGCTAAGAAAAAAGAAAACATATAAAAGATTACTTTTGGGGATTTGGATTTGGGGATCCTTTGGGTCGGGGTTGATGTCCTTCCCAAATTGGAGGAGTTCAAGTACCTCTGGGTCTGGTTCGCGAATGGGGGCAGGGAGCATGAGATTGACAGGAGGATCAGTGCAGCATCGGCAGTAATGCGGGCTATGTACCGGTCTGTTGTGATGAAAAGAGAGCTTAGTTTAAAGGTAAAGCTCTCGATTTATTGGTCGATCTACGTTCCCACCCTCATCTATAGCCACGAACTTTGGGTCGTGACCGAAGGAACAAGGTTGAGGATACAGGCGGCCAAAATGAGTTTCCTCTGCAGGGTGGCTGGGATTTCCCTTAGAGATAGGGTGAGAAGCTCGGCCATCGCAGAGTAGAGCCGCTGCTCCTCCCTGTGGAGAGGAGCCAGTTGAGGTGGCTCGGGCATCCGATAAGGTTGCTTCCCTGGTGAGGTGTTCCGGGCACGTCCCACTTGGAGGAGGCCCAGAGGAAGTCCCAGGACACGCTGGAGGGACTATGTGTCCCAGCTGGCCTGGGAACGCCTTGGGATCCCCCTCGAGACGCTGGCAGAAGTGGCAGGGGAGAGGGAAGTCTGGGTTTCCCTGCTTCGGCTGCTGCCCCCGTGACCCGACTCCTGATAAGCGGTGAAAAATGGATGGATGGATAGAAGGGTTTTGTTAGCCTGATTCTTTTTTTGGAAGAAAATATCCCTACACAGATGTGTAATTTATTCAGGTCACATGTAAAATGCACCATGCAAGCTCTCAGAAAGAGCCTAGATTTTTTCGTAGTTAAGAACAGTTATCTTCACAACCGGTGAGGTCATATGAGTTCAGTGTAAGAGTATAAGTCTAAATTAACAAAACCATGATATCCATGCATTTACGGAAAAAGCTAAACTATATAGTGAACCACAAAAGGCAATTCTAATAGTTTGTCAATTTGAACCTGGTTTAGTTCTGGTGAGGTGCCTAGCTCAGACTTGGTGTATATCTCATTTAATCGCTAAACTGTCTGTTTTGTCCTTTTCTAGTAATGGAATTTTTTCTGCACTATTCTATTTCTTTTTTAGGCATTTAGAATTACGGATAGTGAAATAAACTCCTAACAGGTCAGAGAAATAGCCACCACTCTTAATTGTTTAGGTTAGAAAACCAGATAAGCACCTTCAATTTATGTTGGTGAGTGTGTATAATGCACTTCAAAGGTGTACACATTGTTTTATGGCACAAAAAAGGGTCAAAATATACATGCGTCAACATGGTGGCAATGCACGCTAGCTTTTTAAGAACATACTTGCTACAGGTGTCTGCAAATAGCTAAATAGCTAAATATTGTGCGGCCAATGAGCGTGTCACATGCTCACGTGGATTAGATCAAGTCAGATTTATTTTTATTGCACAATTCCTGACAAACAACTCAAAGTTTTTTTATAAATAAAGGCATTACAGAGGGGAGTGGATCAACCAAAGCTAACAAGCTTCCTTCATAATTGCTGCCGTGCTTTTCTCTCTTAAGAGATATCATCCACTTTTTCTCTTAGTCGGCCCACACTGTATTTGAAGCTAGCCATGGTAAGATTGACTGTGACTGCATTGACATACCATTTTTGCAGTGTGTTGTATCCATGTCTGGCATAAGCTGGTAGAAAAACAAATAAAATGTCTCACAAATGGTAACACTGTCCCATCCAGGTGCTGTTCTGATTTTACCCAGACACTTGTTGATATCCACAAGATCTTCTGAGTCTCTTGTCACCATCACATGAAGTCTCAGAAATGCTTTGGAAAATGCCAAGGTTAACTGCATTCACCCAAATTTGGCATGTAATAATTCTCCAAAGGATATACCTGTTTTTTATTCAGTTTGTGGATTGTACGGTTCAATGGCATGTTTGTGAGCAGAATGAATTTGTGCAGAAATGTTAGCACAAATGTGAGCTACTGCTTATGTTTGGCCAAACGTTTGGAGAGATGTTTCAAATATTTGAATCCTGATTTAGTCCATGTAGTGTGTCCTCCAAAGAGAAGTCAACGAAAGCAGAACAACGATTTGTCGGTCAAAACCTGCATGTTAGGTTGATTGGACATTCCAAATTGCCAATTAAGTGTGAGAGTGCATGGTTACTTGTCTATATGTGTGTCCCTGGGATGGACTGGCAGACCGTCCAGGGTGTACCCTGCCTCTCTCCTATTGACTACTGGGATAGGCTCCAGAACTCCCGGTATCCCATTAGGTAATAAGCGGTTACGAAAATGGATGGATAGGAGAAATAATAAAAATCAGGTATGTGTCAATATTCTTATTACTCATTTAGTGAAACTCATTTACAGTGGGTGTTGGATGCTCCCCTACAACTATCTTATGTTTTGATTTTTATGGATAGTACTTCAACGTGTGTCATAGAGATCAGAACAATCATCAGATCCCTGCTTTTCACAAATGATGTTCTGTTCATAGCTGAAGTGATCAGTATTAGGGACAGGTGCCATGGTTCTTGAATGGAAAAATGAGGAATGCTCTCTTTGGGTCGGTGAATTAATTCCTACCTTGGGTTCAGGAGTAGCATGAGCACTGAGCTGGTAGTCAATGCTTTAAATTGGAGGAACTTACCCATTTAGATAAAATTATGAGTACAGTCATGGCCAAAAGTATTGAGAATGACACAAATATTTACACATGATCTGCTGCCCTCTGGTTTTCATGTGTGTATGTCAGATGTTGTCATCACATACAGAAATACAATCAATGCTTGAATTTTGTCAGAATTCCTAGGTTTTTGTTTTTCCACCCGTCTCTTGATGATTGACCATTAGTTTTCAATGGGATTAAGATCAGGGGAGTTTCCAGCCCATGGACCCAATATCGCTATGTTTTGTTCCTTAAGCCAGTTAGATATCACCTTTGCTTTATGGCAAGGTGCTCCATCATGCTGGAAAAGGCCTTGTTCATCACCAAACTGCTCTGGGACGGTTGGGAGAAGTTGCTCTCGGTGGACATTCATGGCTGTGTTTTTAGGTAAGACTGTGAGAGAGCCGACTCCCTTGGCTGTGAGGCAACCCCACACATGAATGGTTTCAGGGTGGTTTAAAGTTGGCATCAGACAAGACTGGTGGTAGCGCTCACATCGTCTTCTCCGAACAAGCCGTTTTCCAGATGTCCCAAACAATGGGAAAAGGGATTCATCAGAGAAAATGACTGTGGCACTCTTGCCACCGTGGGTGCCCCGACAGAGTCTTGTTGAGACCAAGGTGGTGGTTATAACCGTTTATTTTAGAGCGTGTGTGCCACACGCACACACACTCTCTCACACACTCGCACAGCCACTCACGCACACGCCCGGCTTGGGCTCTCTGCTTTGTTGGCAGTCTGCTTGGCTTCCTCAACCT